TTTTAGTCTTTAATTTAAATTTTGATTACAATACATGTGGGAGGAAAATGGCCAAGTTATATCAGCTGTTAAATGCTATTTAAAATAAAAGCAACAATAAAAAAAATTGACTCAGAGCTATTCTCCTATAAGCCACATGTTGTCAAATACATTTTCAAATGCAAAATTCCTTTTTAAACATATTTTTGAATGTTTTGTGCAAAATTCTGATGTTCTGAGTTAGGAAATGATTTATATTTAATATACTAGAAAAATCACTGAAATGAATCTGAGAAACTGTAATTTATTAATCAGATATGAAGATATAATGATGCTGCATATTCATGCATATATTCACTGGACTTAAAATGAAGTAAAATAACATTTTGTGAGTAAGGCACTTTAAATTCCATTTTACACACTTACAATTTTTCCATTTGTGAAAAAAAAATCCACAGAAGACCTAATACTTTTCTTCAATAACTTAATTCTTCTGGTCTTTGGAAATGGTCAGCTGAGAAAAGAGTATAAGGAAATATTTTTCCTGGTAGATAGTACATGGATTTACACGCACATTAGTTTAGGCTTAGGCCCAATAAAAACTTACCATCATTTTAAGCTGTGGAATATAAAAATTCATTTCAGCTAATATTAAGTATGACACTAATTCGGTATTAAACTCTAAGCACATTAGCAAGTATGGTACAATGCACTGTAACTTTCCAAGTCTCTGCAGTAAGTTTATCATCATTACTGTTTTCTGGCTTTTTTTTCTCCTTTTCCATGTAGGACTTATCATTATGGTAGTATGACTTCAGAACAACCCAACAATTAGAGGTTTTACTTATATCCAGTTAAATATGCATTCTTTTTTTTTCTAGATGAGGTACTGGAGATTGAACCCAGGATCTTGTGCATGCTAAGCTGCGCTCTACCGCATGAGCCATCTCCTCCCCAAATATGCGTTCCTGATGGCCAAGTCTAGCCACCAAACACAATCATAAGAATAGTTTAATTCTATAGGAGTTAATCAAATAGAATAGCAGCTTCTTGAATTGTTGTGCTTAATCTATAGGAAGCCAATCTGTCTAAATTCTAGATTTTTATAAAAACGATAAACCAAAAAGAGAGCCTTGAGTCCTTGTCTAATTTATCAAAGTGTAATTAAAATTCTATTGTCTGACTCATCTCCTCTTACAGTCCAAAGACAACTCCTGTGGCATATTATTATGCATTGAAATAGGATGATTGCTTTCCTAAAACACATTCACACAAACAAATGCCTAAGTGCATTTGAAGTGCTTACAATAATAGGTATTATCATTATAGATCTTCCTTGGTTTTACTTTTCTATCAGTAAATTTGAATACAAAATTTGAAAATATTTATAAAATAGAGAGGTTCTGCAATCCTGAATTATATAGGGTGGCCAACCATCCTGGTTTGCCCAGGACCAAGGGGTACACAGGACTTTAAAAACTAGGACAGTCTTAAGCAATTTTAATATGAAAACTGGGACAGTCTCAGACAAATCAGTATACTTTGGTGACCCTAAACCAGGATGAAATGGTGCTCAATAAAGACAGTTTTGGGAAAAGGAACTTTTTAAAAAAATTTGCTTCCTGATCTTTTAGGATTCCCCAAATTTCTCTTCTTTTCACCTCTCCAACCCCAAAGTCAGGCTAGTTAATGTTAAGTAATGCCTTCCCTGTGTGGATCCAGAACCAAGGCATTCCAACACTTGTAGTTCTGCAGAAGGCAGGGGGGCAGGAGAGGGTAAGGGACTGAGCTCTGCACCAAATGGATCTGAACCCAGGCTTTGACACTTTAGGTGGGAGATCCTGGGCCTCCCTTTTCTCAAGTATGAATGGAAATAACAGTGATGTCCAACTCAAAGAGTTACATAAACAGTGCCTGTTGTGTATTGAGGGCTCCAGGCAATAGTTACTTTTATTGTGATCTTGATTAAAATTAGCAATTCAGAGCAAGCCAGTATGTTTAAGAGTAATAGTAACCTTCATATCTAGATTCCTGGGGCAGCTTCTATGACATATAAAGCTCAACTATGCTCTTTTTTTTTTTTTTTTTAGATTTGGTTTTATTTTTTGGCTGTTCAAGACACGTACATGAAATGGCAGAAGAAACTGTCAAGTTTAGGACTCTTCCAGGAAATGTAGCACCAGTGGAATGGGCGATTGGATAACAAAATTAATCACAGTTCTTTTAAGGCTAATTATGTTTTTAGTGAAGGATGATAAATTCTAAAGACTTTATTTTTTTAATAGCCAGGATTATGATAAAGCTGAATTATTGAAGGTCTCATTAAATGATTCTGAGATTCCATTAAGGAAGGCATGGTAATACTTAACTCTCAGTCATGAGTGTTGCATGCAAAATTGAAGAGCATCAATATGCCACGTGTTGGTCTGGCTCCCGGTGGAACTTCCCTTCTATTAGAGCTATGCCAAAGACAGACTGCTGAAACATAGGTTGTGAGTTGACTATGGAATTCTAGCGTATGAATTCAGTTCTTTCAAAATTGCATTGTTCTGTACTTTAGCATCTAACATCAAGACCTCATCCCAGGTAGGCAGTGGGAGAGCTCAGTGAATGCCAGTCCACTCCATTCCACATTTGTGATTGCCCCTTCCTACTGAGCAGAAAGTAGACTTATGCCTGATCTTTGATATAATTTAGCCAATTAAGTTTACTATGAGACACATAATAAAATTTACCTGTTGAAATGAAACTGCAGGACCTTGATTTTTTAATGTAAAATTTATTTCTGGCATTTACCAAGTACAATGCAGAAGATATTTAAGAAACTGTTGGACTCATTCAAAAGGTTGAGATGGAAAATCAGGGTCCCTCAAGATTTAAACAATCAGTTGAAGACATCATTGAAAACCTTACTTAAAATATTTGTTTTGACTTCAAGAATGGAAGAGAAAACTAGAATTCTAGATTTTGCATATATAATTATAATGTGTTTAAGGGAAACTTTATTTTTTCATAATATAGGCTAATATAACCCAAAATATTCATATACCTTGAGCACCTTTTAAAGTATAAGTCAATTATAATAGTCATATCTTCTTAGCCATTTACTTTCTTTGCATTTATTACAACAGATTCCTAACTCTTACTTTGGGATTTATCATGGAAGATATTTTATATCACAAAAACTCCATTTAAAATGAAAATGTAACATGGATATGTCCTATGGTTGCACGTAGCTATGATAGTGTAAATAGTGAAAAATAGTTACATAACTCTGTAAAAAACCTTACTTTTGTTTAAAAAAAGTATTTTTTGGTTGAAGTGGTATTTTTTATTTTGGGAGAAAATGCTTTAGTTTCTATTTACACACAGAAAAGCTTTCTCCAAATGAAGAAAGATCTCTATTTGTGCTGCTCAAAGATGTTAACTCCATTTAAGCCTCAAATGAACCTAAAACAGAACCCTGCTTAGCAGTTGTCTAAGCATGGCCTGTATACATTGCTTCTGATACCTTTTTAGACGTAAACTCTTGGCCTCATGGACCTCTATAATAGATCTATAGGAAAAAAGTCATTAACTTTTAGACATTTTCCCATGCAATTAAAGAATTCCCTTAGGTTAAATAAGATAAGAATTTGGCCTTTTGCCCGGGAGAAGGAAAATTTTTATGGAAGTTCTTTTAGAATAGAGTCAGTTATACAAAGCCTGAACACTTCTGCTTGGTTTAGTTTTAATTAAAACAACAATAAATAAGAACTACTATTTACTGCTAGGAGTTTTGTAAGTTATTCATGTTTGTTTTGGGGAATCAGCCACTTTCTATATTACATTCTGAAATCAATGCACTTCTGAAAATATCCATGTTGGAAAGCAGAAGAATGAAGTGTCTTATATCATTTGTACTGAGAGAATTAAGTCGTAATTTGTGTGGAAGAATGTTTAGGATTGTATATCCTTTTTCATTTATACCTCTAATTACAAACAAGTACACTTCAAATCAAAAAGCTCATTAACGTGGCATTGGCTAGCTGGTTCACCATTCCTCCCTCCCTTCTTCCCTTCTTCCCTTCTTCCCTTCTTCCCTTCCTTCCTTCCTTCCTTCCTTCCTTCCTTCTTTCCTTCCTTCCTTCTTCCTCAGAGAGAACAAGCTGTGTATTCAAAAGCAAAAGTGAGAGCATTTTATTGAGACTGATATATGTCCCTGGCCAAGTTTAGATTCCAGTGAATAGTTCTGGATTGCAATTGAGAATTTGAAGCTATTTTCTATCTACTTTGTTTTAGAGTTAAGGAATGGCCAAATAGAGCATTGAGGATTATAACATTAAGTTCCCAAGAATAGTCATTAGAGGACTGCTAATAAAGATGCTATAAAATTAAATGATTTGGGGACGATTTAGATAAATTTGAGCAATTTAAGTATTATGGAGGAGTCTAAATATGTTTTCGTGTCGATGGGAGAATGGACAGAAAGGATGCTACCTAATTGTCATCATTTTAGGAAATACTGAATGTGGGCAGGGATGGGGCGCAGTGGGTAGAGGTGGGGTGGTACAGTGTACAATTTACCTCAGCCGTATAGGGTCCTCCCTTTCTTTAAGATTTTTCCCTCTTCTTCAAAGTTTGTGTCTTGCCATTCAAGTGGAAGAATATAGTCCTAACAGCTTGGTTTTCAAGGAAGTAATCATTTTAAACGTACAGTTCAATTTCAGGATGAACCTTTTGGAACTCTTCAATGATTTTTACCCGCCCTCCCCCTCCCCCTGCTCCCTGCCCCAAATGCAGCAAATGGAAGGAGCAAGGCCCATCCTTAAACTATTTCGCAGACACTAGCTTAACTGGGAGGGACGGTGGGGAAGCTGAGCAGCATTCTAGAGCCCAAACCCGTTTGGCCTTTGCCGTAAAAAGAGTTCATTAATTCGAATTTGGAGGGGGTGGAACGGGGAATCATTCGCAGGAGACCGCAATGCTTATGGGGGGGAAAAAATAAAGCTCCCCGCCCCTTCCTTTAAGGCGCCTGGATATAAGCGGGAATCCCTACCCTCCTCTGCTCTCATCTCCAGAGGCAAGTTTGCTTTCCAGCGTTAGCCACCTGTGTGAGGCGCTCCCCGTGAGAAAGGTGGCGTGGAAGGAGCGAGAGCCCAGCCACACGGCAGGGGAGCCTTTCTCCGGGAGGCTGGCGGTCTGAACACCTCCAGAACTCAGAGCATTTAGGATGCACAGTGCGCTGTAGCCCAACGTCCTCAAGCCTCGTGTGCCCTGGAACCGGCTGACGCCTCCCCAGTTTGTGCGGGGTCCTCCAGGACCTCTTCCTCCCACCTCTCCGCCCCCAAAGTAGTGCTCCCGCCTTGCTCCGCCTGCACATCCCCCGGCGCGCCCAGAGGTTTATCAGGCTCCCCACACGCTCCGCCGGCTTCCTCCTGCGCTCGGCGCGAGTGACCCAGGCAGACCCCATCCCCGTCCCTTCTCCCGCTCCTCTGCCGCCGCGCTCCCGGCTCTTATCCCCCGGGCCGCGGCGCCCACCGCGGTTCAGGTTTAATCCCCTTTCGACCTGCTGTTTGGCTCATCCTCCCAGTCAGCCCAGAGAAGTGGAATCTGCACTGAAACTCTCGGTGGCTGGAGCCGGCAGACTGGGCATGCTCAGAAGCCAGGGCTGGCTTTGGTCTCGAGTAGGAAGCTTTTGCACTCGGGAGGCAGCAGCGACTTTGGGGAAAGTTGGTCGGAGAGGGGAGGAAGCCCAGAGACGCGGAGCAGCGGCAGAAAGGAGCCCCCGGCAGCCCGGAGGAGCATGGGCACGCTGCGGGATTTACAGTACGCGCTCCAGGAGAAGATCGAGGAGCTGAGGCAGCGGGATGCTCTCATCGACGAGCTGGAGCTGGAGTTGGATCAGAAGGACGAACTGATCCAGAAGCTGCAGAACGAGCTGGACAAGTACCGCTCGGTGATCCGGCCGGCCACCCAGCAGGCGCAGAAGCAGAGCGCGAGCACCTTGCAAGGCGAGCCGCGCACCAAGCGGCAGGCGATCTCCGCCGAGCCCACCGCCTTCGACATCCAGGATCTCAGCCATGTGACCCTGCCCTTCTACCCCAAGAGTCCACAGTAAGCAGGGGTTACGCTCCGGGTCCATGTGGCACCCTGTCGGTGGGGAGCTGCGGGTCTCTGTATTGTCTGTCGGCCCCCGCCCCTCCTGCTTGCTATGTCTGTCCTCATCCTCAGAAATGTTTCATTTTAACGGGCACTTCTTGCGGGGCTGTGCACGTTTCTCAGAGCCAGACTCACTGCACCTACGTTGCCTTCGTGTCTTTGTCAGATATCAAGCTATTTTTTAAAAAAGAAATATACATATTGATTCATATATGCCACCTACTGTACAGAGAGTTTGAATGCACCCCAGGTGTGTGTCCGTGTGTGTGTGTGTGTGTGTGTGTGTGTGTGTGTGTGTGTGTGTGTGAGAGAGAGAGAGAGAGAGAGAGAGAGAGAAAGACAGAGAGAGAGAGAAAAGAAACAGAAACCCCCGTCTCCCAAATGCCCTGGCAAACCTGCCCAACCAGAAAATCCTAAATGCAGGCTCATCAGACTTGAAATGAAATGCGTCTGCTATCACCCAGACTTTCTATGCTTTTGTGGCTCTCCCGGATTTCTCTACATGCTGGTGATTCTCGCTGTAACCCTTAAAACCTGATGTTCTGTCACCATCAAAGTATCAAAAATAAGCAAATACGCATATAAAAGGGAATATTTTTCTGATTTCCCGAATTGGATGACATTTACAATCCACAAATGGAAACCTAGTCTGTTGATTAAAAAAAAAAGATTTTTTCATAACATCTGAGGGAGTGTAGTGCTTATTTTCCTTAAGGAATTTATGTAATGTTACCCATGGGGTGCCTCTGTCTCCCAAGAGGGTTGCACGTTTCTAGGGTCAAATACAGAGACGTACACTTATCTTTATTGACAACGTGGACACATTGTTTGCCTTACTCCTGGCTTCTGATGCAACCGCTCTGGCATTGTTCTAGCGTTTTAGAGAACTGTGTAGTTCTGATGTCAGTGGGCTTCACAACTTGGGTGGGAAAATTGAATGAAACTTGTTAGACACCACTCAACTCAGTTCTTATGGAGAGTAAGGTGGCAGGAACATGAAGTTAATCTAGAGTGTATTTTACATTAATAGATAACAACATAATTGATACAATGAAAGATTTTGTTACTCTATTCTTGACATCACATTGGCTGGATGACACACATTATGTAATAATACAAGTTCTGTTGGAACCCTTCATAAACATAAGGATTTACTATAAGGAGAAAGCATATTTGATTGTCTCTATTTGTATTTATTGGATGGGGGAAGCTTGTGAGTATATACTAATGATACTTTTGGAAACTTAAGAGTCATACCTATTCTTGTTGGTTCCCATAAGCATAAAGCAGGTTTAGTTTAAGAAGTTTGTATTCTGTGAGTCTGGGGAAGAGACAATAAGGATAAACATCTCTGAGATTCTGACCTCGCCAAGTGCCCTAAGAGTTCAGTACATTTAGGTCTGCCTCAGAAACCTGAATGATCTGTATCCACTTCAACTTTCTCCGGTAAGTTAATTTGCAGTCCTGACATGCTTGCCTGTTTTAGCTAACGAGGTACACGGCCATCTCTCCAGGGCCAAGTTTTGCATAATGAAAAAAATAACTCAGAGACAGCTCTCTGCATCTTTAAGCATTCCCTAGGATCTCATTTTAGTATCTGCAGGACTTTGGAGTAACACAGAGGAAACTCTGCTTTTATAAAAAGACGATTTTAATGGGTTTTACAATGAAGCATGATCAAGCCAGCTGATAACTTCAGTTAAACATTCCATCAAACAAGGTCTAAAGGAATCTAGGCAGTAGGGACTGAGCTGTATAATGTGGTAAGTTTTAGAAATCAATTTGTGCTTGACATGTAGAAGATTTTTTTTTAAGTCCATGGTGCAAAATGAAATTAGTGTGGCAAAGAGTTCACAACATTCTATTATAATAAACATGTTATGTATTGAACCATATTGTGCGTTCTGATCTTTATTTTATTACTTGTGCTATAAAGAAGTCGGCTATTAAGGTATCACCATGATGGTTTTGGTGATTCTGAAGGATTATATTGAAGAAAATGATAGAATGAATGTCTTCCAAGCTTAAATAATTTTGGAAAAACATCTGTTCTTTTTTCACACTTACATAGAGAAAACTAGAGTAAAATTGGCTTGAGTGGTAGAGTGTACCTTTCCTAAGAGAGAGAAGTATATTGTATGTAAAATGTATACTTATGTCATTTGAATGATTGTGCAAAATAGTTCCACAAAGAATCAGGAAAACTTGCCAAAGTGAAGAAGACTTGTTTGAATTTCATTTTATTTCACTATAAATAATTGGATTATATGAGTTACTGGCAACAAGTGTTCATATCTTTGTACTTTATTTTTAGTACAACTTAAATTTGGTCCTTTTTCTTAAACTTACTGATTATTGTGAGTTTGAGTTAAAATGAAACCATCTAAATAGCCTAAACTTGGTTTTGAATTCACATTCATGTTAGTTTTCTCTTCTCTTCGATAGAGGTTAACTGCCCAGAGAATGTCCTATTCAGTTATCTGATGTATGCAAGTGTGTTTGTTTACTTTTTGCTTATTGAGTTTGCCTTCTGAGAATTGTAATTTGTAAAAACTTCTTTTTTTTTCTTTTAGTGATTTTTGATCATTTGAAAACCAGTGTAAAATATAATTAACCTATGAACTTAAATCATCTTTACATTTTTGGTTTGGAATTTTCCCTGCAAGCTGGCATTGGTGGGAAGTCTCTGTCAAATTCCAGCACAGAGTTAGGGCACTTCGGCTGCACCTGTGAGTCAGGGGGAGTGTTTTTGCATGTCTCTTTCACACCTGTATAGAAATAGCCCTTTTTATGTTATCAACATGAAGAACAAAGAATTGATGTAGCGAATTGAAATCTATATTCAACTCCTACTAAATAACTACTTGGGAACCTAAAACTATTAGACTATATGTTTTGAATTAAATTAAGCAAATAAATCCTTAAAAATGAAAACTATATAAAATATTCATTCAGCCTGATTATGCATATAAAATAGCTCTTATGGGCTTTTATAGTAATTTTATTTCGTGCTATTTTATTCTTGAAAATAGACTGTATAATAGGTGAGAGTGTTCAGTCTCTGGTATTTTGATCTAAACCCTTCACCTACTGTAAATATTCTCAGATCTTTTCTGTTTTGCTGCCATAGGGCTCTGTGTCATTTCAGTCGGGCTATAAAGACTTGAGTTCCTATCAAAAGTTGTTAGTGTCTCTGTATTTTTGTTAAGCTGTTGCTTTACACCCCAGAGGTAACTGAATTTCAAAGAATGATGACATGATTTGTCTTATTATGTTACAGTTTTTGATCATGAAGTACTTTGGAAGAGCTGAAGATAAAAAGAAATAGATTTTTCTCATTTTTAGGGAGGCATTAGTTTTAACAACATCTTAGCTGATCTTTTAAACCTTGACATTAGTACATTTCAGGAGAAATAAAATCTTCCTAAAGGCTGTCTGTTAAATTCTGTTGGAAGTTGGGAGAATTCTAGAATTTTAGTGTAATCATAGATGGCATAATATTAAAACATAGATTTCCTCAAAGGTAGGAATTAAATTTCAAATTTGCCCTCAAGCTCAGGTCATTACTTTTATGGGATGCACCGTATGCAAGTTAGCATCAGGCATCAGAAGTGAGAGGTGTGTAAGTCCTGTCATCAAAGAGTTAACAAGGGGTTAACAATACTGCACAAGTTAAGTATTCTAAGAAGTAGAGTAAGGTAAGTCACAGAGGAGATACCTTAGACAATCGGCAAAATATAATTGAGCCCACTTGATTTTATGTATCAGAAACTCTCGTGGGAGTGGTAGGACTTAAAGTAAATGTTTGACTGATGGCCATGATTTAGGTGAGTGGTGACAGGATGAGAGGGGTGGGGTGGGGTGGGGACCACCATCAGCAAAGGGACCCAGCAGCAAAAGAAAGCAGAGGGTACATCTGGGGCATGACAGCAACTAGCGTCTGTGCCAGAATCCTGGAACGGGAATTGAGGAAAAGCAAGTTGAGGCCAGACACAATCAGGATTAGGTGTGAGGGCATTTTTGCTTGTTTTTAAAATAATTGAGAAGTGTGCATGTTCGCACGTGAGTGTACGTGTGTGTGTGCCTGTGTGAGAGGGAGATTTACAATGAGGCCTGATTGTTACCCACCAGAGAAGCTCTGAATCTCAGAATTTCAGCCCAGTCCTCCAACTCCCACCAGCACAGTCCTGATAATAGCCACCACTATCCCAGCTAGATAAGAGTATTTAATTTAACCAAGCAACAGATGACTGAAACTCTTACAGAAACTGAGTTCCACTCTTAAAGAAAGCAAGTTCCTTTTCCACTCACGTCTAAGTGTCCCCACTGTGACTCTTATTTTATACCACAGACTAGCATGCAGATTCCTTCACAGATGCAGGCAAATAGGACCTAGATGAGAATTGAACCTGAAGTTGATTTTTGAAATTCATCTTTCTTGTTCTTGTGGAGTAGTTAAATTCCAACTTATCTATTCTGATAGACTATCCAATTTAAGTTTGATTGTTAGTTTGATGTTACAGTCTGTGCAGTAAAATTTAAGCTGTGGCAGCCTTTATCAAAATAAGGCCAGGATTACTAAACCCTTTTAGGGTGTTTTGAAACACAGTCAAGTTGTGTGCCCCGAAAATGGGGCTTATAATGAAAATCCTGAGAAGCCCTTGAATAGAGTAGCCCCAGAGACGGCCTGAGATTATGAACAGCCACCTTCCTGGGTCACATTTCCAAGCTCCCATTCCTTGTCTTTTCACTAGAGAGTTGGATTCCTTATGAGAAAGCATAGAAGAAGGCAGACGATGCTTCTATTGTTGCTGTTTGCAGGTTAGGAGGCATATGGACACATTTTTTTTTCTGTCTGCCTAGCAATGGAGGGTCTCCATAGTATCCTAGCAACCAGATTGGAGCGCAGGCTGCTGCTCTTTCTCCCATCCCTACTGTAGGTGCCGCTGCCCATC